GTTCAAAACTCACCTGTTGCCCAAATGGAAGCATGCTCTTCTGGCTTTGAAATTCTACCACATCCCCCTTATTCACCTGACCTCACACCATCAAACGTCCATCTATTTCCAGCAATGAAATTATTTTTGAAGGGCAAGCATTTTTCAGATGATGAGGCTCTGATTTCCGAAGTCACAATGTGGCTTTTGGAACAACCTGTTGACTTTTACAAGCGAGGTGTTTACAGTTGCTTAAAAAGATGGGAGAAGTGTGTATCCCTAGGTGGCACCTATGTAGAGAAGGACTAATAACTGTGCCAGCTTTCATTGCTCTCAGTCCACAGGAAGTGGGTCAGGGGAAATCTTCAATGAACGCCACTTGTAAGTCACCTATTGACTTATAGTTACTCCATAAATCACATCAGATATCCTTAGGCAATGAACACTCAGAGGTGGTTCTACCACTTCCTTCTGAAATATAGCCTACAGAATCTGGTATCAGTGGTCTCCCGTCAAAGGACTAAGCAGAGCTGACATTGCTTAGCTTCCAAGATCAGACAGGATCCAAGTAGCAATGAAGATTTGGCCACAGTGCTGCAAGTAGAAACTGCTCTGTGGGAGTGGAAGTGAGGAATGACATCCTTATAGAATTTGGTACCTGAAAATGATGATCTAATTATGATTCAATGTGACTAAATAAGCTTAATCGTGTAAGGATATAGCTGTGGTAGTGGTTCATTGAAGCATTAAATTGCTTACTAAACAAAGGAAGACATGTTCTAACTTGCACTTTCCTATAGCAGCCCATTTTCAAGGATAAACCATTTGGATGGCAGTATCCCTTATGATGAAGAAATTGTCTCTACCATGAAAATTAAGTCCTAACTTTTAGTTTGGAATCCAGGTAGCTTGTTTTTGTTTTGATCTTGTTTTGGAGGTATGCTTGTATTGTATCCATTTATACCAAATAAAAAGAAATGCACCTACAAACTGATGGTAGATACTATGTTTCAAATGTTTCCTAATTTTTAATAGAACTCTTGAACAATTAAGGTGTGCTTTGGTGAAATTAATTGTTTTAGCTGGTCTTTGTACAGATGTTTATACATCTGAGAATCAAAGGGAGAAGAAAAATGGGTGGAAATTAGTTTTCGCTTTGCATTTTGTCCCAGATTTGAATTTAAATGAGCTGTATGACCATGGTTTTCAGAGTACTACCTGAGGTTCTAACCCTGTCACATGTAATTTTAGGCTCTGTTGTTATCTTGGACCATCAGATGCCTGTGTTTTGTGGCAAATCATAGTGGTTTTATAGACTTGGTAGATCTGAGTTCTAGTCTATACTGATAACATATACCTTTTGTCAGTCACTCTTTTCCAGTCTCTTTCCTGCTTCTTGGCGGGGGGTTGGACTGGATGGCCCATGAGGTCTCTTCCAACTGTGATTCTATGACCTTCCTCATAGGGTTATTCCGAGTATGTTGCAGGGCCCACAGTCACTTTTCCTTTTCAACAAGGTCTTACCATTTTCAGTAAATCTTGCCTTTTCTCTGAAGATCGTTAGTTATTCTGGGACTGGTTCTTCACATCAGGTTTTACTCAATGCCTCTGGTTTCTTCTGCTTGAATACTCCTTTTATATTTACTTTTACATTATATTTACTTTTGATATTTCCTTTCCGTAATGAACTATCAGCTAAAAAATAACCACAGTGGCGCAATGAGTTAAACCTTTGTGTCGACTGAACTGCCGACCTGAAGTCGGTGGTTTAAATCCACGAGATGGGATGAGCTCCCATTTGTCAGCTCCAGCTTCCCCTGCAGGACATGAGAGAACCCTCCCACATCCAAGTGTCCCCCGGGCAACATCTCTGCAGACGGTCAATTCTGTCACACCAGAAGCGACTTGAGAAACTGCAAGTTGCTTCTCACATGATAAAAAATGATTAAGCTTCTTGTTTCTCATTTCAGATTTCTGCTACTGCCAGACTAGCACTTTCTTCCCTAGCTCCATACAGCCAGAACTGGTTAAAATAATGAACACATTACTGTCAGAGCCTTTCCGTGTCTTTATAATGGCATTTAGGGTGGACTTCTGTTGGCAGACTTAGATGAGATAGTAAGCTTTGTGAGAGTTAAAATATTTAACAGGACAGGAACGTGCAGTTTAATTCTGCCTGTTGGAATAATGTTTTCACTGTTACCCTTCTACACTTTGTTGATGTTGTCTTTTGTGTAATATCTTAGAGGCAGGCATTCTCATTAGTTTCAAGAAATACATAATGGGAATTCTTGCAATGTAATTTTCTTTTACTCTTTCACTTTTATTTAAAACCCTATGAAATCCTGGGGTTGCCATAGGTTGACTGATTTGAAGGGACATATACCTTTAGTTGTTACACCATCTAGAAAAATAACAATTCAGTACTGTCAGTTCACGTAGTTTAAGGGAAACCCAGGGTTTGCAGAAGTAGGAAAACAGCTTAGTGGAAAATCCTAGAACTTGGGGGCCAGGTTCAAAGCAGACTGAAGATGTTCTTTTGACAGTAGGAATGGGGGGAAGATGTGAAAACTCGTTCCTGTAAAGAAACAGGAACCCTCCACAATGTAGCCTTTGTTGCTAGCTTCCAACTCATTCAAGATCAGAAGAAATAGCCAGAAGTGTCTGCAAATACTAATCTGTGTGACACCTTTGCTATGCAACAGAATGGAACAAGCACACCATAGCTCTCAGCTACTGAGGGAAAAGATCCCAGTAAAAAGAAAATCCAATTTTAAAGAAATATTCATGGCAGTCAAAGGTCTGAATCTTCTGTGGCATTGCTTTGTGAGGTTGGGAATGCTTTGTATTCTTAAATGCATTCCTCATAATTTTTTCTAGAGCATCTGAACTTTGTGGATAATTGTAAAAACATGTCTTAATACAATCCTGGACAATTACAAAAAATTAAGCAGGACTGAGCCTAGTTTATGCTTAGATGGAAAACCTCCAGTAGGGTTAAGAAAGAATCCTGTCAGAAACATTGGAAAGTCAGACAGATCTGACAGTATTAAGGTATGCTGACCAATAGCCTGGTTTAGTGTAAGGCAAGCTGCTCCATCCCCCTTGAAGAGTTAGCAAGCTTGTTTTCTGATGCCCTGGAGACTAGGATACAGAACAATGGCTTCAAACTACAGGAAAGGCCATTCCATCTGAACATGAAGAACTTCCTAACAGTGAGAGCTGTTGTTCACCACTAAAACATTCTGTCCTGTAGTGTGGTGGAGGCTCCTTCTTTGATTTTAAACAGAGGCTGGATGGCCATCTGTTGGTGATGCTTTGAATGCGATTTTCCTGCTTGGCAGAATGGGGTTGAACTGAATGGCCCAAGAGGTCTCTTCCAACGGAATGATTCTATGATTCAACTGGGTATCCTTCCATGCAATGGTGGAAAATATTCCGTTGTGAATCAACACTTTTTGTCTAGTTTCAACTGTCAGGGAAAACTTAAAGCAGCCACGGAATACACTACTTTATGATGTTGTGTGCCTCCTAGTGATTTATGAGTTATTTAAAACCTACCATGAGATTTTCTTGCAAGAACCATAGATTGTCCAAGGACACCCAGTGACTTTCTATGACCAAACAAGGACTCTTTGCAATTAGCAAGTCAAAATACAAAATAACAAAGCTATTCTGCTTTGTAGTTGAAACTGGCCTGTGCTTGATGATTCTCATTTACCTTGAGCAACTGTTTGTCATTGTACAGCTGTCACAAGTTACCAGAATATGACTTTTTTTTAGTAAAGAGCATGCCTATTGTTGGAATGGGCCTTTTGGGATCAATATTAGGAGAAAATTGTGGGTTTTTTTTTTTTATTTGCTGAAATGTAACAAGAAACTACACATTTTGCATAGCAAATTTATTTTGCTACAGACAAAGTGAAATAACCTGGTTTCTTTGTTCAAACAGCATTTCCCAGTATGGAAGAAATGCCAAACTGGGAAAGTAAAAAATCTGCCATCTCAATCTTCTCATAATTATGAAGGGACTACCTCTCCATCCCCCCTGAATCGTGGGCATTATATTTGGTTTATACACTCCTGCAGCGGTATGGTTCCTGAATCGCATGATGTGTGGGAACTATGTAAAATGATTGTCACATGGATCTACCCAGATGTATACATTTTTCATTCTTCTCCCTCCCCATATTGCACATGTGTGCATATAGGAGTGATGAGGGCCCAAGCAACAGGGAAGTGGAAGCCACAATGCTCTTGAAATTCATTGGCTGCCAAGCTGTCTTGACTCAAGACAAGCCTGACATTTAGTACTCTACAAAACCACTTTTAGCAACTACAGGTGCACAGCTTCTTTTCTCCTTTAACAGCACAAGTAAGCTTATGCAAGACATTGGCTTATAAGAGCCTACTTACATGTTTGCTCCTTAAATTCAAAACGTGGTTTTCTGCATCTCTACAGATAAATGCTGTTCTTGAATGACTACTTTTCTTGCTAAACGATGGCAAGTAGAGACAGGCATTCTTTTTTACAATTTACGAAGTTCAAATGGTGGCACACATTTTATAGGAGTACTTTTTTACTTTTGGCTTTCAGTCTAGAATCTAGATGCTAACAGGACTCGCTGAGTAATTTGCTCTTCCAAGTTGTGGAAACTACTCAGCTTTTCTATTACATAGAAACAAACAGGATGTAGAGTTTTGCATTGCTAGTTTAACATAATATCCTGGAATTATGTGTCTGAAATTATGACAAGCTGTAGCTTCTTGGTTTTTTAATCACATCCATACATCAGTTTGCTCTCAACAGAATGTGGCTATTAATATAGCATGAGCCCCAGAGAAGAGGAAAGCAACCCTTCCAAAACCTGGAGTAGTGGTTTTGTGTAATAAGGACTCAACCGAGATGATGCAGTTCTTAAATTGCTTGTACGACTGAATACATATGTGTAGGCTGCTATCATACCAGCCTTTTTGCCTTTGTTTTACTCTTTGGTACAATAATACTCAAATCAAAAGCATAATTGGAAAAATGTTTAGTGCAAGTTGGTCACTCAAAATATTCTTCCAGGACATACATAAAGGGAAATACATTAAATCTCGTGTTAAAAGTAAGCACATGTTACATGTTTTCATCATCTGATTCATCCTCTTCTTTCAGAGATTCCTGTCAAAAAATAATAATAGAAGGTCAGGTTTTACTGCTTACTAAGTACAAACAATGTGTAGCAAATTAAAAAACTGCTCTTCACAATCTCTGGAGTGAAAGCTTGATGGTTTACAGAAGCTTAGACTACAACAGACTAAAAGCCACTATGCTTGCCTCCAACTGGTACACAAATTTCTCATTTCTGTAGCAGGTGTTTTTAAAAAACTAGCATCAGACAAGCCGAACTAAATCTTGTAAGATCGTTACTGGATCTTTCATAGGCCAGCATGGCTGCCTTTGCTTTCTGAATTATGCCAGACGCCTTGACATTATGAGGAAACTACTTGGAGCCACTCCAATTCTGGGTACTCACTGCCATCTACTCCGGAGTTCCACTATTTACCTTAGCATATTTCTCAGCTTCTTCCTTAATGTCTTTTGGTACAACTTCGTGTTTTCCTTTAGTTACTGTGAATTAAAAAAAAAAGGTTTTGAGGATATCATCAAAGGATAGTAAAACACTACATTAGTTTGTATGTCAGGCTGACGAATTGCTTTCATTTTGCATTGAACTTTGATTTCAAGATTACTTGACTAAAGATTAGTTCTACACGGACATAGTACAAACTCAGGTGATATATTCCAAGACACATAATACCCTGGACACATAAAACTATGGATAATAGCAAACCTTATATTTTTACTATACATAAGGGGCCAGAAACATACCATTGAATTTGGAAGACCTAGAGAGGCCCACAAAGATTTCTGGGGGCAAAAATTTGGAATGTAGTGAGACTGCAATGTGGAAACAAGTCTTCAGAAGGGTCTTGTCATTGCCGCCTGAGGCAAAGAGAGCATGACCAAGCCACACAGTCCCCACAGCTAAATGGAGTCAAGTCCTGATCTCATTGAGTTCTAATCCCATTCTCAAACTACTACACCTCACTGGTTCTTGTAAAAGTTTTCCCCTGGCAGTTGTGTCTGACTCGGGGGGGTTGGTGCTCATTTCCATCTCTAAGCCGAAGAGCCGGCGTTGTCCGTAAATACCTCCAAGGTCATGTGGTCGGCATGACTGCACGGAGTGCCGTAACCTTCCCGCTGGAGCGGTACCTATTGATCTCGTGTTTTCAAACTGCTAGGTTGGCAGAAGCTGGCCTAACAGCAGGAGCTCACCCCACTCCCTGGAATAGAACCTGCGACTTTTTGGTCAGCAAGTTCAGCAGCTAGGCGATTTAACCCAGAAATGTTTAAATACATAACTGTTATTACTATATAATGTGAGGATTTTCTTAAAAGAGCAAATGTCAAAAAAGAAAGTCTGAGTGATACATTACTTTCTCCAACCCAACTGAGTTCCAATTCGAAAGCTTTGTCTTTTACTTCATCATGGACTATGTAGATTCTAGAAACAAAATAGAACAAGAAAAGCAAGATCCTGAGTTTTGGGAAAGGAAGGAAGCACTTGTAAAGTAACTTCGCATGTTTATAAAACAGGCAGTTCTCAGCAGTATTAAACATAATTAGAACTCATAATAAACTACAGTTCTCACATGCATACCCCAAATATGAAGTTATAGTTATGGAACACAATCTTTAATTGAACGCGATTCTGGATTTAAAAGGGCAAGTCCAATTTACCTTGCAGAATCACCACCCAAGCAAGAGTTAAAGGGATTAATTCACAACTTTTTAGCATTGTAGGACAAGTTGTGTGAGATGGCTTGGGTTAAAGTTTCTTCAATCTCTTCTTCAAACTCTTGCTTGGGTTAAAGTTTCTTCAATCAAAAGCTCATGTGCAACAATTTAGGCATGAATAATGCTCAAGGGAAAAAAAACTTACATTTTTGCAACTTCTTTAACAACATCACGACAAGTCATGTCTTTCATCTGTGGATATATTTGAGTATTTAATTATATGGAAGGAAAGATGTGAAAGAATTATACTGTATTATAATTACAGATGCAGCCATCAAAATGGTATTAGCTCATTAAAATATCTATTTATTTGCTGCTTACATTAATCACGTCCTGCTTCTGACAGTGATTTGTCAGTAAAACCTTAGATAACCTCTACTCAGAGAAAGTTCAATTTGACACAAATTGTAAACTAATTTCCATTTAACCATTTCTAGTTTTTTTAGGAGAACAACCACATTGTAAATTATAGTTATTCTGAAGTGCAATTAGTGAAAATATGAGTGTTTCATGAACTGTCAAGTGGAGGCACAAGGAGTGCAAAATTTACACTTCTGAAAATCATCCTTATGAAATAAAATCTAAATTTTAGTGTTATGAATCAGAGTAAGCAAAATTATGATGTTCCCCATCCACTAAAGACAAAGGCAAATCTTGTTTGATATTTTCCACCTTTTTAGCCTACCAACGGGGCAGAATGTGTCAGTCAGTTTCACAGGAAAGTCTCTTGACAAATGCAATCTTGGTCTGGAGGGAAAGTTCAGCTTATTTTAACATTTCACCCAAATTGTGAGTTGGAGAGAGAAAGCCCTCTCCATCTCTATTAAGAAATGCATTCAATGATTCTGGTGGCGGGATATATTTTCTCTCTGCCATATTCTCTACTAAAGAAAGGCAGGAGACAGGCAGCCATTACAGCCCCAAAATGACAACTGTGCGTGGATATAAATGCATGTACAGACAACGTAACTAAAATTGGGAATGAGTGGAGGATTTTCCTACTGGAAACTAGTATTCTGCTGACAGAACAAGAGTTCTAGATAGCCAAATTGAAAGACAACAAATTCTGCAATTTCCTGTGAGCATTCGTTTCAGAGGTCCCCCAGCACTGTGGGCTATTTGCTTCAAAGCCAGGCAACAAGAAATTGAGCCTAAAACAATCTGTACCAGATTACAGGTTTACCTGGAGCTTTTCAATTTCTGTCTTTGCAGCCTGCCGTGCTTTTCCAATGGCACATCCCCAGTAACCCTGTAAAAGCAACAGACGTTAACCATGACTTTCTGTGAAATGGAAGGCCGGGTTTTAAGAACAAGCTTTAATGAAGTATCACATACTAATATAGAAATATACAAAAGTGAACTAGGAGTTCAGACAGTGATTTCTGAAATCAAAAAGTGGTGCTGGAGCTGCGCATTCTTGGTTTGGGACTGGCCTATTCATTACCAGAGACCAGCTCTCCCTCCTATTACACATTACAAACGGGCTGTATCCCATCATGCAGGAATTATTCCTTCTGGCCATCGAAAGCACTGCTTGTTCAAAAGGAGTAGGCTAGAAATAAAACAACTAGGTCAAGAGAGACTATCAACTGGCCCTTGATCAGCTTGATCATTATCACCCAGTATTTTCATAGTAAAGACTTGCAATGAGGACAAGGCCACAATAAACCAGCTTTATGTTGATTCCACTAGCATTTTCATTTTGTAAGGAGGAAATGAGTGGTGGATGGCATCACATCAGCAACCACAGCTCTCCCATTCCTTTTTACAAAAATGCTTTAAAAATAATGCAGTTGCTTTTATAATTTGGTGGAAGGGGGAGAAGAAGAGAAGACAAATAAAACTGCAGCCATTAATTACAATGAACACAACTTTTCCAGCCAGTGCGGCTGAAGGAAAAGTTATTTCATGTGGGGCAAGAGGTGGAATCTCTGGATTCCCCTGTACTTTATAGAGGCAGTAGTTGCAAATGCAGAGTGTAGGCAGCTAACTTCCCTGATATAGTAATCTAAATTTATCTACTGGCAGAATCTTAAATAAGTCTTCTGCTTTTGCTGGCAGTGTGTTTCAACTTCTGCCATCGTGCTCCAAACTTGCAAAACGCTCAACTTCCATCAATGCCTCATTTTCTCCCTCATCCTAATTCCAACACTCCATAGTTTCAAATAGAAACTTTGGTCTTTTTCATATTACACATGTATAAGCACCTTGCTACTGCCATGGCTATATCCCATCAAACCTCTTTAGCACAGAATTGTAAATGCCTCACCAGAACTTCCACTATTTCCTCCCTGGAGTCCTATTTTCCTTTGAAATGAGACACTGCCTTTTAAGAAACATTACTCAACAAGACCAAGTAACTGGTATATATTTCATCTTGACAAGAACATCACAATTACCACTGTCAGCTATTTGTAACCGTAGGTTATCTAGTAAGCTTTTAATGCCCTCCAAAAAAGCAAACATGAGGATTATCTTTTTATTTCAATAACAGAAGACTCTGGGTGACACCTGCCAATTATAGTTTGACCTCAAGAAAATAAAGAAATGTCAAAATAATTTCTGATTGTTTCACTGAAGTTGAGCCACAGCCAGCAATCATATACTGCAAACAAAAGTGAAAGCATTCTACAACAATGATCTTAAACATGATCTGGAAGGATAAATTGAACTGTTTCCTTACACTCAACACAATGCTTTCTAATGAACTGGAATCTCTGGATAGAATAGGTAAGTAGGGTATTTAAAGACTGGTCTGTAACATTGTTTATTGATGAAAAACCATCGATAGAAAGAAGAACAATGTTAAGACAAACGTCTGACAACAAAATTATTATTTGTTTACTATAATTTCCCCCTCTTCTTTCTTATGCTACATTGTTGATTCAGATAACAAAGGTAAAGGATGATAATAAAGGTAAAGGATTCCCCTTGACATTAAGTTGGCTCCTGCCAACCTAGCAGTTCGAAAACAAACAAATGTGAGTAGATCAATAGGTATTGCTTTCAAAGAAAAAGTCACTCCAAGCAATCTTGCCGGCCACACAACCAGAAGAAGACAACGCAGGCTCCTCGGCTTGAATATGGAGAAAGCACTACCCCAGAGCCAGAGATAAGGACCACCTCCAGAAGCCGGAAATGAAAGGAGAACTCTCTGCCTTTGTTTGTGTTTTTGTGTCTCATTGTATATGATTGTAGGCATTGAATGTTTGCCAGAAACTTTGCAGCAGTAGATAATGCCATTGTGAAACATGTGTCTAACATTTTTTTACTAGCTTCCATACACATACGAGAAGTTTTGTAGAAGTCTCAATATAAAAATCGTCAAAAACACTCACATATGAAACACCTGAAGGATCAATCATGTACAACTGGGCACCGTCATCGTCATCATAGGAACCCAACATGAAGCTGGAAAAGGCAAGGAATCTTGTTAGGACAAGACCTGCCAATTATAGAGAATTCTGACAGAAGTTTGACCTCATGAAAATAAAGAAATGTCAAAATAATTTCTGATTGTTTCACTGAAGTCGAGCCACAGCCAGCAATCATTATATTTTATTCTAAATATAACCCTTGTTGAGAAAAGCAAGACAGCAATTTCATAAGTGACAGTGAACCATAATGTTCAGTTGAGGCAGGCATCTATCTCAACCAGACAATTTGTTTAAGAGCTCTGCTACACTTGTGTTATTGATCAAAAATTTAAGCTTTTATCACATTTAAAATTACAAAGGAAGAAATAAAAAAAAGTATAGGGTATTGTTCTTCCAAATACAAATACAGGAAAGGAATTTGAGAGTGTCTGTCTTCAAAATACTGTACATACATATTCACACCCCCTTGAGTTGAATAACTTATAGAGTTGCACCCTAAGGGCAACGAAGCTGTATACTTATCCTGTACTCAGTAGCAAACTGTGGAAACACTGAATTGCTGAGGATATTACTTGTGACATGCTTCAAATATCATTCTGTTCAACTCAGAGGAAATACCTCTATTCGCCTTGAAGAAAGCTATATAAAAACATGACTGGCAGGATATTTTCTGTAGCAAATTTTCTGCCATTCCTTCATCTGAGGGTCATCAAACTTCTCCACCCCAGGTGTACTTCTGGTGCTGTCTTCCTTCCCTTTTCACTTCAGCACCCGTGGGTTTTCTAAACCTGGTATTTTATATACAACTGTTTATTGTTTTAGGAAGTTATTATATGCCTTGAGAACCATTGCTCACAGGATGTTAATAATTGGAATAGATTGAATAGAAGTGCCTACCTGCAGCCGAAAGGTCTGACAGCACTGTATAGTGTGTAGGCATGTACATACATAGCCACTCTGTCTGCAAGATGCTATGGGGAAAGAGAGGACGAATTTTAGAGCATGGGAAATAATCACTCCATTTAAATCAAAGCTTTTTGCGCCAAAGAAACTAACGTAACCTACAACCATGTTTCCATTTCACACTAAGCCATGGTTCATCGTTTATCCAACCAGGAACACGTGAGCCTCATGCTTGCCCTTTCCTTTTGCCCCAAACGCAAACAAGGAGGATTTCAGAGGTTCTTAGCTGACTTTTTTATTGTGCTGTCTAGAATGACAGGCAACATTTAATTCCAATTACGGTATGGTTGATTTAAAACAAGAAAGTTCAGACTATAGCATATGAACCAGGTTTGCTTGAATATGAACCAGGTTTGCTTGAATTAGCCACAGTTAGTATTAACCACAACTCCTGAAACAACTGGCTAACTAAAATTGGAAGTAAATTTCCCAAATATTACACAGACCAGTCTACCAAAAAAAATTTCTTAGTGTCTTGGTTTTTAGATCTATTCCTGAGGTTACTTTGGGCGCCGGGTCAGAAAATTGCATTGGATAGACTTCATCAGCTCTAGTTTCTTCAACATGGTTATGATTCTCTATGGGCTGGCAGATGAATATGACATATGTTCTGTATCTCAAAAACTAAAGTCGATATGTGAAAACTGGTGCCATTTCTGGAATCAGCAGGTCAAACAGACCTAACATTTGAGACACCAAAATGTGTGTTGGCCAGTGATATACGTTGTTGAAGGAAATGGAAGGTGGGACCATTCAAGACAAGCTTAGCACTATGTGCCAATAATGGCATTTGTGTTTCAGAAGCTATATAAACATTAAAAAACTTACTTTCAGTGGTATATTGTAACCATAGTTGGATCTGAAGTTGGAAGCTTCTTCCCTTGCTATGTCAGCCAAAGACCGAGCATCAGCCAGAAGTCCTGCTACGGCCTGAAAAAAGGATCATCATCTCAGAATGAACACAACTTTCTCATTTGAAACTTTACACATCACCATCCAAGTCTTGTTCTAGCATTATCATTTACATCAGGAACGTGCTTAATAGTCACATGTTCCTAGAACCGGTCAAACAAGCATTTCCACCCCCACAAGTTGAGGCCAGAAATACTTCCTGATTACAAGCTGAAAGTCACAACTTGCTTATCCAAGAGGATTTTTAACAAATGGATCATCACTATTTAAACGTAGCAATGTGCTAAACAATAAGTACAACATTCTCAACACCGACTCACCATTCCAACATGTCGATCAACATTAAAGAGGCGTTTATTGGACCCTTCTTCATAAAGTTTGGATAAAACTAGTTTTTCCACTCCAAAGACTACACCATCTTTACACCGAATCCCAATTGCTGTACTGAAAAGAAGTCAGAGCAGAGTAATCAGCTCACTGTGTTTACTTTACAGAATGTCTCCAACCTAAAAATGCTCTAGAAACTAAAACATAAACATTATAGGTCCACTAAGAATATGTATTGACATATGCTGATCCCAGGATTTTTTAAGCATTTTTAGGCAAAGAATCCTCAAAGGTAGTTTCATCAGTTCCATTCTGTAAAGCAGTGGTTCTGAACCTGTGGGTCCCCAGATGTTTTGGCCTTCAACTCCCAGAAATCCCAACAGCTGGTAAAATGACTGGGATTTCTGGGAGTTGTAGGCCAAAACACCTGGGGACCCACAGGTTGAAAACCACTGCTCTGAAGCATAGTAGGAAATAAACAACACTTCACTGAAAATCTTAGACAGCAGGTCCACCTATACAGAAAGCTGGTTTCCACAATGATCAATCAATAGGGGTTTGCAAATCCATTCTATTTTTGTTCTGAATTTTGGGTGGTCCCCATTCTGTTTTGGGAAAATTCCGGGAGATTCAGACACCTGTGTTCAGTTTCCGTTTTGGGAAGAATCTACCCAAAAACACAAAATGAAAATGGATCACACACCCCTATCAATTAATATATCTGTTGCTACAATCAAAGGAAACATGAAAAATGAACAAATGAAAAGGCAAGGAATCTTGTTAAGACAAGACCTGCCAATTATAGAGAATTCTGACAGAAGTTTGACCTATGAAAATAAAGAAATGTCAAAATAATTTCTGATTGTTTCACTGAAGTCGAGCCACAGCCAGCGATCATTATATTTTATTCTAAATATAACCCTTGTTTTCTAAATATCTGATATAATTTATATTTACAATTTCAGTACTTTAGAAAAGCTTTCTGATGTCATGAAAATAACGATTAACTATAACTTCTTGCAATTTTTAATGGAATTATACATAATCCGGATGAAAACATTCTCATCCTGAGGGTTTTAGACTCTGCTCCACTACTATGAATCAGTAAGACTAGATTCAATTTTGAAATAGAATAAATGAAGTTAATCTTAGTAGACATTCATTCCCTTAGTTACAAATATACACCTCGCACAGGCAGTCTCCAAGTTACCAACATCCGACTTATAAACAATTCATAGTTAAGAACCAGGATGAGACAACATGAAGTGAGAGAAATCTACCCTTCGGAAGGGAAATTCACTCCTGGAGGAGTTATTATGGGGGAAAGGTGTCTCCACTGAATGATAATAATATAATACATTAATTCTTATACCCCGCCACCATCTCCCCGAAGGATTCAGGGCAGCTTACATATGGGACAGAAAGTCCAACAGACAAAAAAAAGCAAAGCCATCCTCTAAAACAAAAAGACCACTAAAATAGGAGCATCATAAAATACAGCAATCCAGATAAAACACAATTAAACATAATAGACTAAAGCAGCCTCATTGAAGCTCCACCATATAATGTTCAACAAAAACCAATGACCAGAATTACTAAAATGGGTGTGATCAGGCTATAAAGTGGTCAGACATGGGATAGTGCAAAACAGAGTATCGTACGGAATTGGATGAGGTGCAGAGAACAGAGTACTATCTGGCCACCTAGGGACTGGGCATTTATACTAGGGACACTGAAGCTTCATCTCCAATCCTTGTTTCCTCAACAAGCTAATTTTTTTCAAAATCCAATTATCAGAGGGACAGAAAGTGCAGTGCAATCTTTTGAACAGGGGCACAGACAGCAAAACAAACACCTCAGGTGTGTTAACTCTTCCCTGTTATGCTATCAAAGGCTAAAAAATATATGTCTTTGACTGGTGTTACACTTTTAAAATGTGCCTATTCTGACCTATAACAAATTCAACTCAAGAACAAACCTACAAAATTGATCTTGTTTGCAAACTGGGGCTTTCCTATATACAGATAGGGATACTAATTCTATGCCAGAATATTTGTAAGTAAGATCTTCAAATTGTGAACCCCCTGGATTCACAATTTCCACCAGCCATAGTTCATCATGTCCTATACAGAAAATGGCAGCAACATGAACACATATTATGCTGCATGTTGCCAGCATTTAATAATAAGGGGACAACCACTTACTTTCTAGGTATTTGAGGGGTCCCCAGAACTAAACCTCTGAGGATCCAGGAGGCCCACTGTACTTGCAGGCATGTTACAGTTAAATCAATGTTGTTTATTCCTATTACATCTTGTTTCCATCAGCACCTGAAATTGTGGGGATGTGCTACCAGGTCAAGCTGATAATACTGGGACCAATAAAGTAAATACTAGGTGGCTACATTAATTTTTGTTCCTGGTTCTACTTTTCAGAGAGAAAGTATTTTCTTGTAAAATAATAATCTATTTAGCAAATAATTTTCAAATGATGAAAATACAAAAACGCATCTTACTCTTACCTGCTATTTTCAACAGCTTTCATAGCATATTCTACTTGAAACACTCTGCCATCTGGAGAAAATGTGGAGGCCGACAAGTCATACTATGAGGGGAAAAAACAAAGTATTTCAAAAAAGAACTGCAGCAAGAGGTGACAAAACGTGAGCTGGATTGATTACATCTCAACGTAGGCAGCTTCCCTCACTAAAGAAATAAAGTTGTCTTGCAAACTGCTCATTTCTTTCATGAATATTTATGCTGCTCCTATTAAAGAAATGCATGAAAACAAGAAAAGCATCCACTCTTCCTAGTAGTTAGGAAGTTTGGAGCATTTGATGTATTGATACATACAACTACAGGGGGGAAATCAAGTCCTGCGTAGTAGGTATTTTCCTCCTAAATAAAGTTAGGGCTGACGTCTTATGGCATGGGAAAGGTTTTTTTAACGGACACTATACTTTTAGGTTCTTTGCTGTGGAAATACATGTTCTGTTCTTTAGCAACACCTGAAATTTTTGAATTTTGAGAGGACTCTGAAAACTTATTGCAAAGTCTATGCTTTTGCATTGTTTCTAATCTTGCTTTTCAATCATTGTAGTTCTAAAGATGGTTTTATGTATTCCATCTACTTGTGTTTTTATTTGTACTTATTTTAACTAAATTATTCTGATTCCCAGAATTTTTGGAAAAGGCAGGGTAAAAATGAGCAAATAAATGAACATCTATTTTGTTGTTATCTTAGCAAAACTTATCCCACTAACTTTGTGGCTGTTCCACCTGTCTGGTTTCAAATTCCCAAGAGATGGTCTGGCATACACTAGACAACAGCAACCTCTGCTGGTCGACTAGGAACTGCAATTATTTTCAGCATTTAATTTTTCAGTTAAACTCTTTGGGGACTTCATCACACTAGAGCAGTGGTTCGCAGACTTTGGTCCTCCAGTTGTTTTGGATTTCAACTCCCAGAAATCTCAGCCAGCTTACCAGCTGTTATGAATTGTGGGAGCTGAAGTCCAAAACACCTGGAGGACCAAAGGTTGGGAACCACTGCACTAAAGCAATTATCCACCTTAAATTATGTGGCTGCCTCTTTCAGAATTCTGGGGTTTGTAGTTTACTGAGGTCCAGGATTCTATGGCTGAGCAGTTTTAAGCCCCTTCCCTAAACTACAAAAGGCAGTCACAGGATTTGAAGTGGATAGATCCTCTAGTGCAGGTATGGGCAAACTTTTTGTTCCTGGTTTGAAAGTGTGATTTCCTGTTTAATTGTGCAGTACTTGCTTTAAAAGTAGCTGTTTTACTCCCGAAACTTCAATTTTGTGGCTGCCACAAACTATACTGAATTGATTTAGACTCTTATCACAGGCATGGGCAAACTTCAGCCCTCCAGGTGTTTTGGACAGCCAGTAGGTTGTTAGGAATTTGTGAGTTGAAGTCCAAAACACCTGGAGGGCCGAAGTTTGCCCATGCCTGCTCCAGTGTGTTGAGGTTCTTGATCTGACACCCATTTTACACATTAGATGTTAAATCTGGATCTGGGTTTATAGCCATTTGTAATCTAGATTACATTTGATAATAAAGGCCAGTGACCATACAGTTTAGAGGGCCTGAGTGTGAGCTAGAAGCTAAAGCAGACACATACCTATAAATGTTACAGATGCAAACAATTACAGGTTGATATCATACATGCTGATAGTAATGTTAGTTATTTAGATTAACAATTTGCTAAGGAAGATAATTATATGGCTTCCACAAAAATGTCTAGCTGGAACACTTACATTTCTTAGGAAATCATTTTTCTCAGTTCTACCCATTTATGTAGGACTGCTGGAAAACAAGGTTTGTAAATATTTGCTGCTGTTTTTGATTTTCTGGATGTGTTTTCTCATGTCTCTTATGATGTCAATTACAGGCCTCTCTCATCTTTTTAAGTGGCGAACTTGTACAATTGGTATCTGACTAAATACTTTTTCCTTCCACTGTATATTTCTGGGCACTGAAAAAGACTTCTGAAGCACTGCTGTTTTTTATGCATTGGCAAAATCTGTTTTTTTCACAGATAATGATAATGATAATAATAATAATAATAAAACTTTTTTTATACCCCACTCCCATCTCCCCCAGGGGGACTCCGTGCGACTTACATGAGGCCACGCCCATCAATACAATACACAACAATATAACACAAGAATATAATAAAACCAAAAAATAAAATACATAGAATGCAAAACAATGTAATAAGCAACACAAACAATATGAAATCAGACATTAAAACAAAAAAGATTTCGCTGGACAGGGCCAAATTCAGGATAAAATTTTAAAACACTGGGAGATAGGACAGTGTCAAACATCAGGAGGAGGATCCAGGAATGAGGAAGGATTTAATTGCATGAACCATAAGATAAAGTGCTACTGGGGTCATTTTGTGAAAAAAATTGGTCTGGGAGTATCTTATGTTCAATCACTAAAGGCACATTGGAATAACCAAGTGTTCAGATTCCTCCTGAAGATTGCCAGCGTAGGGCTTGCCTAATATCTCTGGGGAGTGAGTTCCAGAGCCGAGGGGCCACCACAGAGAAGGCCCTCTCTCTCATCCCCACAAGTCGCACTTGTTATGCGGGCGAGAGTGAGAGAAGAGCCTCTCCGGAAGATCGAAGAGATCGTGTGGGTTCGTAAATGGAAATGCGGTCGCTTTGTAGGTCAAAACCTGTCCTTTGAATTGGGCCCAGAAAATAAATGTAAAAAATCAGAGATAACAGGTTAATCAATCTAATAACTGAAACCACTGCCATGCATAATTATATCTGATTATATACCACAAGAAAAGATTGTACTCTAAAGGGTTTTTGGTTCTTCTCTGAAAGGACATGATTTTCTTTTTAAAGTTACAATCTCCAAAAAGTTATGAATGCCATTTTCCAAAACCTATTGTATTTTTAGCTGCTTTTGAGTGTTGTCTCGCTGTGGGAGAAAGGCGGGGTAAAAACTGGTTCAAATGTAGAAAGAAAGAAAGAAAGAAAGAAAGAAAGAAAGAAAGAAAGAAAAGGCTAAGAGGGGACATGATAACTATATGGTTCAGGTCCTGCCTATTTATGTGACCACATCTCTCCTTATGAACTTCCTTGGGCTCTAAGATCAACTGAGGTCCTCATCTCAATCCTACTGCCCTCACAAGCGAAGTTGGTGGAGACAAAGGAGAGGGCCTTCTGGATAGTGGTCCCTTGACTCTGGAATGTCCTTCCCAAAGAAATTAGACAAGCACCCACCCTCATAACTTTCAGGAAAGAGTTGAAAACCTGGCTATTTAAGCAGGCTTTTGACAATGGCTAAGAGTATCAACCACCTTATCGAACAGGAATTTAAATGTTTATTAAAGCTATAATTTATAATGCTGGGTACCCTGATCACAGAAATTGGCAGGTTTTAAATGGTGTTTATATATATTTACTGTTTTTAAAACAGTCTTTTAAACTGTTTATTCATGTTTACACTATGGTGCTATTTTGTTTTTATTAATTGAGATGTGATTATTGTCTGTGTTTTATCATTTACTGTGTTCGTTTGTTTTGCTGTCAGTTGCCTCGAGTCCCTTCGGGGAGAGGGGGTGTAGGATACAAATAAAGTTTATTACTTCCTTGCCTGTGGAACTCTCTACCTAGTGACATTAAATTGGCCCCTCCCTCTTGTTGTTTAGAAAGAAACTCAAAACCTGGCTATGGGTTCAAACAGTAGAGGGAGCAATTTGGAATGAGACCCAATTTGTGTGACTGACCTGGACTATGATTTCAAACCTGTGTGAGTGAAACAATGTTTTAGTAATTTTAAAGAACTGATGAATTGTTTTAATTGCTTTTATCATTTATTACTGTTGTTGACATTGAATGAATGTCTGTTGTGAAGCTGTCCTGAGCCCCTTCCGGGGGTGAGAAAGACATGATACAAATATGCAATTTTTTTTAAATAAATAGTATCTGAAAGGACGTCCCATTGAGGAGGGACAGAACTTGATTCTAGAGCAGTGGTTCTCAACCTGGGATCCCCAAATGTTTTTGCCTTCAATTCCCAGAAGTCCTAACAGCTGGTAAACTGGGTTGTTGTAGGTTTTTTCGGGCTATATGGCCATGGACTAGAGGCATTCTCTCCTGACGTTTCGCCTGCATCTATGGCAAGCATCCTCAGAAGTAGGAGCCTCCGGTGGCGCAGGGGGTTAAACCCCTGTGCCAGCAGGACTTAAGACCAACAGGTCGCAGGTTCGAATCCGGGGAGAGGCGGATGAGCTCCCTCTATCAGCTCCAGCTCCTCATGCGGGGACATGAGAGAAGCTTCCCACAAGGATGATAAAAACATCAAATCATCCAGGCGTCCCCGGACAACGTCCTTGCAGACAGCCAATTCCCTCACACCAGGAGTCACTCCTGACACGACAATAAAAAATCCTCAGAGGTAATGAGGTCTGTTGGAACTAGGAAAAGGGGTTTATATATCTGTGGAATGACCAGGGTGAGACAAAGGACTCTTGTTTGCTGGAGCTAGGTGTGAATGTTTCACTGATAAACTGGCTGGGATTTCTGGGAGTTGTAGGCCAAAAACATCTGGGGACCCCCGGTTGAGAACCACTGCTCTAGAGCTTAATGGATTAAAATTGCAGGAAAAAGAGATCCCATCTCAACATTAGGAAGAACGTCCTGTCGTTAACAGCAGTTGAATATATGAGTTTAGAGCAGGCCTGGGTTAACTTGGGCCCTCCAGGTGGAGAAGAAAAGCTTACTATCCACTGCCGTTCTAAATTGCTTGATAACACAGGTGTTTTGGACTGGGTTAACTTGGGCCCTCCAGGTGGAGAAGAAAAGCTTACTATCCACTGCCGTTCTAAATTGCTTGATAACACAGGTGTTTTGGACTTCAACTCCCAGAATTACATGGAATTCCACGGCATTAGGAAGGTTGAGAAACGCTGTTCTATAGGAAGCTAGATGCTTTAAACATTGGACTGTGGATGTGTCTACACCAGGCATAGGCTCTGGTTACATCCCGTCTAGACTACTGCAACGCTCTCTACGTGGGGTTGCCTTTGAAGACGGCCCGGAAGCTCCAACTGGTCCAACGTGCGGCAGCCATGATACTAACAGGAGCGGGACGCAGGGAGCATACAACCCCCTGCTGTACCAGCTCCACTGGCTGCCGATCTGCTACCGGGCTCAATTCAAGGTGCTGGCATTGGCCTATAAAGCCCTAAACGGTTCCGGCCCAAGATACCTAACTGACCGCCTCTCGGCCTATGAGCCCACGAGGACTTTGAGATCTTCCGGGGAAGCCCTGCTCTCGATCCCGCCTGCGTCACAGGCACGGCTGGCGGGGACGAGAGATAGGGCCTTCTCGGTGGTGGCTCCTCGGCTGTGGAACACCCTTCCGTGGACATCAGGCTAGCCCCCTCCCTGTTGATATTCCGCAGGAAGTTAAAGACCTGGCTGTTTAAGAAGGCATTTGATCAAGAAGTGCAATGACTGGTAATTGACCATAGGAATGGAACAACGGAAATGATATCGGATTGTGGGTTTGACGATGAGACGACTCGGAATGGCTTTTGTAGTAATGTTGATGTTTTGATGAGATGTTTTTGATAATGATGAACTGTGGATTATTTTACACTATGTTTTGTTTTTTGCACCTGTTTTTCTATGTTGTACACCGCAATGAGTCGCCCTTGGGCTGAGAATTGCGGTTTATAAGCGCAGTAAATAAATAAATAAGCCAACTTGGGCCCTCCAGGTGTTTTGGACTTCAACACCCACAATTCCTAACAGCCGGTCTAGAAGCTCCTACTTGATTCCTTCGCTTTCGCTTTCCCTTCAAGTGAGTCAGCGGCCTACAACTGGCTAGGCCTCTCTCTACGAGTCGCGCGGAGATGACGTCACAGCCCTGTGTGAGGCCTAGACCCTCGAAGTGAGGAGAGATTAATCACCGCCGCCTTTGTTTTCCTTTTCGGGGGAGCCCTCTCCCTTCTCCTCTACCTGACTTACCCCGGTGCCGATGGAACTCATGGCGGAAGAGGCCTGAGAGCAAACAGCCGGCCCTCCTGCTTCTTCTTTGCCGCCGCCTCACTCACACTGCTCAGTCACTGCTCAGCAACGCGCCCAACCATTGGACAACCGCCTCTGGAGCTTCGACCAATCGCCTCTCGCCGTTAGGAAAAGGGGCGGAGCCAAGAATGCGCGCAGTCACGGCAGGCGCAGTTGGCGCGCGGCAGCAGAGGAAAAGAATGCGTATGCGTACAAATCCACAATCGATAATCTGAGAGTGCGCATGCGCGAAGAATTCCACAAGGAAGGTTCTGTGAGGGGTCTTTGTCAGCGCCCGGCTAGCTCAGTCGGTAGAGCATGGGACTCTTAATCCCAGGGTCGTGGGTTCGAGCCCCACGTTGGGCGGGTCAATTTTTGTTTGGTGGTTCATTTTTGAAATTAATGTGCAATGAAAATCTATATAAATAAAAATATAATGTTAGTTCGTGCTACCATCAAAACTATAAAAACCACTGGGGGAATAGACACCAAATGTGGACACAAGACACCTAACAGTCCAATTTATGTCCTCCACTCAAAAAAAAATGATTTTGTCATTTGGGAGTTGTAGTTGCTGGGATTTATAGTTCACCTACAATCAAAGAGCATTCTGAACCCAACCAACGATGGAATTGAACCAAACTTGGCACACAGTTCTCCCATGACAAACAGAAAAAACTGGAAGGGTTCGGTAGGCATTGACCTTGAGTTTGGGGATTATAGTTCACCCACATCCAGAGAGCACTGTGGACTCAAACAATGATGGATCTGGACCAAACTTGGCACGAATATTCCATATGCCCAAATATGAACACAGATGGAGTTTAAGGGAAATAGACCTTGACATTTGGGAGTTGTAGTTGCTGGGATTTATAGTTCCCCTACAATCACAGAGCATTCTGAACCCTACCAACAATAGAATTGGGCCAAACTTCCCACACAGAATCCCCATGTGGGCCACAGCAATGCGTGGCGGGGGATGGCTAGTATTATATATATTATAACTGTTGCACTCCAGGTCAGGAAAAAGCCCTCTGACTTTAAAACACACCACACGAAGAGTGAAGAAACAAATCTTCTTTTATTGAAGCTTAGTAAATAGCCAGAAGAAATAAATGCTTGTAAGAAAATAAGAAAGTTCCAAAAAGTAGTAAGTCCATAAAAGGTAGTAACACAAAGCAATGTCCACACCAGATATAAAAGCAATCCTAGACAGCATTAATCCAGACAGGAATCAAACAGGATGCAAAAACAATCCAAAAGGCTAAAGGACTCCAGAGGAACAAGACTCCTTGAACAGGATTTCCATGGCACGTGAACTTGGTTTCCAAACGATGCCTTATCTAACAGGTTTCCTCTTGAGGCAAACCTTATATCCCAAAACTCAGAAATTGGTTTCGCTTCCCCCACATTTTCCCCTTATCAGACAAAGCCTTTTGGAGCGATGTAAACACTGAGTTTGCTGTCGATCCTGGCTAATCTCCAGCCACATATTTTTCAGCTCCCTATCTGGCTGCTCATTAAAATTCTCAGGTGTCAGATTGTTTTCCAAACCCAAATCTCGAGAGCTCATAGAGGGAGGGAAACTCTCATTGCTAGGCCCAGCAGGAATATTCTCATGAGAAACTGCAGTGAAGTGACAGCTTCCCTGGTGGCCAGAAGCTGGAATGTTAAATAGCCTCTGAGTGTCAGTCTATATATGTTGTGTGTCTATGCCATTGTGTTGTGGCTCACTTTGAGCCTGAGCTTTCTGAGCCTGAGTTTCCTCAGGACAAGGAGGATGATGGGTTACAGATTTCTGTCCCTGTTGTTGAGGCAGACAGTGTTGATTCTGAAGAAGAGACGGCATTTCTGTTTCCCAGAGAAAGAAATGTTGTTTTACATCATGATTTAAGTGAATCTTCACAGGTGCAGGTGGAGGAGTCGGCCACTCCATCTGGGAGCTCAGTGCCTCTCGGTTCCCAGGATAACCAGTCCCAGGATAATGAGTTATCCGGCCTTGAAGGTGATGGAGATTTGATTAGGGAGGACCGTTTGCAATTAAGGGGATGCCGAAGTGCTCAGCTTGCCAACAAACGGGAAGTTTGAGGTTGACGTAATGCTTTCATGCTAGGGAAACATATTTAACGATCTGATTGAAGTCAATCCTTTGCCAGTGCAATGTTGCTTAAACCCTGTTAACTTCTCTGGAATTACCTTGGCTTTTGGGGAAAGCTTTTAGCTCTTTGGGACTTTGGTTTTGATCTTGGTTTTTGGGGACCTTGTCATGCTGCCATGGATCCTTGTTTAACCAATGCTAATGGATTATACTTCATGTTATTTGCCTTTGGATATTGGAAACTTTGCCTTTGCATTTAAGACTCTGTTTTGGCTATTGAACTTTTTGCAACCTTATTCTTATGTTTATGATTTTGCTTTTTCTTCAATAAACTACAAAACCTACAGCCTTGGAGTGTGGTGTTGTTCTGAGCAAGGTGAATCTATCCTGAGCTGCGACACATTGGATATTTGTCATGTATATGTACATTGTAATCCGCCCTGAGTCCCCTGCGGGGTGAGAAGGGCGGAATATAAATACTGCAAATAAATAAATAAATAAATAAATAAATAAATAAATAAATGTAATGTTCATTTGTGGGATTAACATAGCTCAAAAACCACTGGACGAATTGACACCAAATTTGGACACAAGACACCTATCAGGCCAACAAGTGACCATCACTCACAAAAACACTGAAAAACACAGCAGAAGGGACTTAAAAAGCCAAAAAAGCAAAAAGATGCTACAACACATGCACAAAATGACTCCCCCAGCAAACAAAACACACAATAGCAACAGCATATCCACACTCTGTTCTGGACTACATCTCCCAGCATCCCCTAGACCAGGCCCTTTAGGAGAGGAGGATGATCCAAATGCACTGCTTCCAAGCAGCAAGCTTTCTTCTCCTTGGATTTCTTTGAGAGCATCCCAATCCCTGCATACTTCCAATTTCCTATTCCTGGACTGCAACTCCCAGCAATCCTCCAGATAGATAGATCAGATAGAAAGGTAGGTAGATAGCTTGATCAGGAGGACTGCTGGGAGTTGCAGTCCAAGAATAGGTAGAGAAGGAGGAAAGGGGAGAAAGAGGGAAAGAAAAGGTGGGAGGAGGAAGGGAAGAGGAAGAGAAGGAAGGAGCAAAAGAAAGAAAGGGAAGGGTGGAAAGAAGGAGAGAAAGAAAGAAAGAAAGAAAGAAAGAAAGAAAGAAAGAAGAGAAAGAGGGAGGTAAGGTTGGCCAAAGCAACGCGTGGCAGGTACGGCTAGCATATACATAAAAACACAAGAGACAATTAAAACGGATGTGTTTAAAGTCATAAACCTAAACTGAAGACACATTTCTACCAATAATATGTATAGTTTAAAATTGTAGATATAGGTCTTTGATTCTATTTTCAATTCCGACAGTTCCTTGAGCTGTTGAACCCCTTCCGACAGGTCATCCCACAGTCTAGTATTAATACCTTTTTACCATTTCAACCATATACGTTCTGGTTTCCATTTGTGAAATGTTGGAGGATGTGATCTACACACTTACTGTGCTCTGTTTTCAGTTAAACTGCTGTGGTGACATCCTATTGAATCCTGGGTCTGATTGTTTGGTCATTGGAGTCTCAGGCTAAGAATTCTAAATAGAGAGGACTCTCATGCTGGATCTGTTTGGCCATATAACTCAGTTTCAGACCCCAGATTACCTGCTGTATTATATGGCAGTGTAGACTCAAGGCCCTTCCACGCAGCCATATGACTGAGAATATCAAGGCAGAAAATACCACAGTATCTGTTTTGAACTGGGTTATCTGAGTCCACACTGCCATATAAGCCAGTCCAGTGTGGGTTTTATAATGTGGCCATATAATCCAGTTTCTGATCCCAGCTTGTCTGCTTTTAACTGGATTATATGGCAGTGTAGAATCATATAATCTAGTTCAAAGCAAATAATGTGGGATCAAATAATCTGGGATCAAATCACAAGTATGGTTGGCGGGGACGAGGGACAGGGCCTTCTTGGTGGTGGCCCCTCGGATATGGAACGCCCTCCCTAGGGATATCAAATTGGTTCCCTCCCTTTTAACATTTCGGAGGAAAGTTAAGACATGGCTGTTTGAGCAAGTGTTTACAAATGCAGAGTAACTGACATAGGAAATGGAATGACTAGATGATGGAATTGGAGAATGTTTTAACAAGGAGACGCTAATGATGTTGGTTTTTATTGTTTCTGTTGTGGTTTTATATTGTATTTAATGTTTTATGTGAATTTTGATATGATGTGTATTGACTTGCTGCCGGTAAACTGCATTGAGTCGTCGAAAGGCTGAGAAAGGCGATATACAAATACAGTAAATAAATCAAAAATCAACAATCAAATGGTGGGTTATAGGGCAGTCTAGATCCAGCCTAAGTTAACCGGAACTCAAACAACCAGGAATAATATCGAAGGGATAATGCTTTAAATTAAAATTCAAATCAATTTTAGGGGAAATCTAATGTTAGGTTTGCCTTATTTGCTCTAAATTACTGTATTTCAATATGAATATCCAAGTCAGTACAGACTTTATGGTACTTTTTAGTATTGGGTTGTAGTTTTTTTGGGCTATATGGCCATGTTCTAGAGGCATTCTCTCCTGATGTTTTGCCTGCATCTATGGCAAGCATCCTCAGAGGTAGTGAGGTCTGTTGGAACTAGGAAAATGGGTTTATATATCTGTGGAATGACCAGGGTGGGGCAAAGAGCTCTTGTCTGTTGGAGCTAGATGTGAATGTTTCAACTGACCACCTTGATTAGTGGAGCCCCCAGTGGCGCAGTGGGTTAAACCTTTGTTCCAGCAGTACTGAAGACCGACAGGTCGCAGGTTCGAATCCGGGGAGAGCGTGGATGAGCTCCCTCTGTCAGCTCCAGCTCCTCGTGTGGAGACATGAGAGAAGCCTCCCACAAGGATAGTAAAAACATCAAAACATCTGGGCGTCCCTGGGCAACGTCCTTGCAGTTTCTCAAGTCACTCATGACACGACAAAAAAAAACTTGATTAGCATTTGATGGCCTGGCAGT